CGCTCTGTACTTTTGAACAGTATAGAATACATTACATAAGCCCTATTTCTAAACAGATTTACTGTACAATGCAACCATGTACACGCATATACGCATAAAAGAAGTGAAAGCAGTAGATGGATCTCCCTAAAGGCAAAAAGTGTAAGAGTGATCTTTCTTTCCTGCTATTGTTGAATCTATGAATCAAGCTCAATGAATCCACAGAATCTAGATAATTCCTTGAATCCTGTGTGTCTGAATTGAAGAGCAAGGCTGATCTGTAGTTCTATAGAGGCAATGACTAAAGACCCCGGAGGCTGTCATCACTATTAGCAATCAGCACAGATCCATTCCAAGATGCCTGTAACATTGATTTCCTTTTTGTGAACTTCATAACAGCCCACAGGAGGCTGAAGGTCTCCTTATAGACATACTAAAGCAGAGCCACACAACTCTCTGCACAGAAGAGAGATGAAGAACGGCATGCATGCATGTGTGTGTGTGTGTGTGTGTGTGAGTTATGATAAGAGTTGCGTCTCCAGCCAAACATCAAATTCAGTAGTGCTGATGGGCGATTTCTGCTATGCCACTTTGAGTTAGAGACCTATAAAGGTACTCATGAATCAATATGAGGTATTTGTGATTTTTCTTAATAGATGGTGACATTATTCACATCACTGCACTATAAAACCAATGGAGAGACAATGCGCATGCTGTTTTTCTGTCACTCAGTTTTTTGCTTTATGTCTGCAGCGATGAGTTATGCTGCTAGGCAACCCTCTGTGTTTATGATAAAACTGCCTCTTGATAATTTGGATACGGTAAAACATAACATTATTCAAAATTACACTGGCAGCAAAATTAAAAATAGTGCTCAACATATATAAGTACACCCCTTACATATCCATATCTTAAATTCATATTTTTATTAGGAAGCTATACAAGATTATATTTGTGCATATACATTAGTTAGTCAGCACTGAAGCCAAATCTGAAGCTTATCCAACAAAATAACTTATGATAGTGGTCCAAAAACTAGTGCACCCAAATTTATTTTTTCTAGAAAAATATTAAATACAAATTTTAAAAAGGGGAAACATCAAGAGAAGCTAAAAAAATATACAAATAGTTTGTAATTTTTGTTGCAATATTTTGCTTGAATTTAATTGTATTATTTTTCAATTTCTAAATATGTTTGGTGACTAAAAAATTATTTTATTAAATATATCTGTTTAATAAATCTGTTTTGTTTAAATGCACCAAAATACATTGCCCATATTTACTGAAATGAATACAAATATTCATTTTTAAAATGGGGTGTACTTAATTATGCTGAACACTGCATATATTTTTTCATAATATTTTTGTGTATTGTAGAGTAAAATTATAATACAACACAGATATTTTAATGTATAATGAATACATTTATATAGCTCTGTTTTATTAAAATAAGATTTTTAAAATAATATCACAATGTTTAAAATATGCTTAATTTTTTTTCATTTGACTTCATTTTAAAAAGACTTAACTGTTAACGTTTAATTCATTCATTCATTTAATTCTAAACCATTTAGATTATAAATTAGTGTTTAATCATAAAACAGATAATCCATAATATAATGTAACAAAATAAAGTATTTAGAAAATTACTTTAAATGATAACAATTCTATAACAAATAATACAGTTTTTCTCAGTCGCTTTGGTACATTTCTCAGATCAGTACTGAAATTTGTGCATTTATAAAAACAACACTTACAAATAGCAAAACACCATAGATTCCTTGCAAAAGCCAGACTCTTGCTCAAAATCCTTAGTTTTTCTTTCAAAACTGTGTCAATGAATAAGTCAGTGCTATCAGAGTGACAATGTGTCATTGTGTATGGATAAGGCAGCCTAATTACATCGTCATTTTATCAATACAACACTGGAAGGATGTTCTGATGTAAACTATGGCAAAGAAAATTTGATTTTTTCTGTTTGAACTGATCGTGTCATTGTGATACATAAAGGAAAATACAGTACTACATTGCACAAAGAAAAAATAAACAAAAGTAGAAATGTGAGCATAGAACAATCTCCTTTTTAGACCTTCATTATAAAAAAAATCACCTGAGAAAAATTTAGCAATTGTAGACAGATTTAGAAAAAAGTCTTACAAATTTGTATAAAAAAACTGCATTATGGTGAAATATTTTGACAAATTGTTCAGCCATTTTGCATGTAAAACCAGATGTTGTTCAAAGGAATGAGGAACTAGTTTTCTGATGTGCACAAGTGACAATGATCTGAGATTAAATATAAAAAGTAAAATATATTGTTTTTACATTTTTAGTAATATTTTTAGACATATTTCTTAGCCCTACTCCCAGTATTTTAGCATTTTTTATATTTCTAAGATACTACTGTTTTATAGTTTGTATTAATACTTTGAATGAGGGTGGTTCCTTCTGATGTGGCAATCTCTGATATAGCAAAGGCAAAAGAAAGTGAGTAAGTTTGAATGATTTTTTTTGTTTTATTATTTCTATTAACTTTTGTTTTATTTCAGACTAATTTTAAAAGTTGTCAATTTTCAGTATTCTGTCAGTTTATGTATGTTATATACAGTATGTTAGCCAAACAAAATGTTAAACTTAATTTAATTGATTTCCTAACAGCTAAAATATATGTATTTTATTTCATTTAATTTTAAAGGTTTTACAATTGTGGTTAACTATAATAACTCTGCTACCTCTATATTTCAGAAGAGAAGTTAAGAAAGCAAACATGTGCATATCACAGTAAGACTATTATATTGACCCGGACAGTACAAATTCATTTGATTAAGGGGCCATTTCACTCTGCAGCAGAAATGCAGACAAATGCCAATTCCTTGGGTTAAAAACATTTATGACTTAATGAAATACATGACGTTTGACAGAAAAAAACAAATGTCAACAAGAGTTGCTTTCTTATTCATTTTCAACATTTGAATTCACAGCTAATGTGACTCATGTGGTATAAAGAAAAGTTATATTCATTCCAGCACCATTCAGTAGATCCTAAGATGTTAAAGACTATTTTTAAAAATCATTTTCAGACATATTTCAAACAGAGCATTACTTATGAAGCTGTTTATGCTGTTTGTTAAAAGCCAGTGTACTAAATGTTAAAGTCATGAGTCAGACTAAGTTGTCATAGTCATCTAACTGATTGATCTACTGTAGTTGTCGTCCACCCATCCAATCTACCAAAATCAGCATTAGTTGAATTGGAACGCTATAGGAGGTTAGTGATCTTTCCGAATGTGCAGTACTTTATCAACAGACATGCAGAACAATGTATCAAAATTAATTTATAGACATTATTACAGAAAAACAAACAAAAAGCGCTCAGGGGTAATCATCAAAACAACAGGAATCAGTCCAAGGCACATTTTTTGAGTGCCTTGGACTGATTCCTGTTGTTACTTTACAGATATGTTGCTATTTGTTCACTTTTAACACACTTTTAATTATATATTTACTTTATATTACACTTTTATTGTTGTACGACACGTATTTTTTACATCATAATAGGCAATTATTTATGTAGATTTTTTTCTGAAAATGTGATATTAAAGCATCTTAAACAACTGAACAAACTAGCAGTTATCTGATAAGCATTAGAGGGAACGAGATGCATTTGTAACATTTTCTTTAGGTTTTCTTCATAACTCACAGATTACCTGAAATACACTTGTCAAATTTTTTTTATACAATATAGGTGCGCAAATTATGGATACAGTTAAAATACTTACACAAGGACAAGACTATAATAATAAATTAAAATCAAGAAGTCCGAGAGCTACAACTGTCCCCTTGGTGCGGTGTGGGTGATTGTAACAGAGTTTGTGAGCAAATGTAAAATGCACTTATTAACCAATTGTATCTCAAATAAAATCAATCACATTACTGATGCAGTGTCTAAAACCTTTACGTGAGATTTGTATGGTACAGTTTAAGTTTATATTTATTTTCTTTGCAGAAAATCAGACAACCATTTCACTGGTAACTAGACTTAGAGTTATTAAACTATATTTTATACATTAATTAGCTGATGTGTCAGGAGCAGAATTTAGGCAAACTCTAATGAAATGGTACAAGACATATTAACAGAATAACCCAGTAAGATCCTGTCTACCAAAATATTCATAGATATTTATTTTATTTAAAAAAAAAAATATATATATATATATATATATATATATATATATATATATATATATATATATATATATATATATAGTTTTATATATTTTATATAATATTAAAATATATAAAAAATATAAAACAAATGAAAATATTAATTAAAATATATAAAAATTAAAATATATAAAAATATATATAAATAAATAAATATGTATATATATATATATATATATATATATATATATATATATATATATATATATATATATATATATATATATATATATATATATATATATACTTTAATATATATATTAAAGCTTTTTTCTGAGTGGATGGTTTGGATCACATTTAATCAAATTAAGATTTAAAATATTCATATAGCTCACACTAAGTGAAAAAATTAGAGTTTGCAGATTTTTAATTAATTCTTAATATTACAGTTTTGCCATAACTGATATATTCATAAATTATTTGGTAAAATCGAGCAATGTTTTTATAAACGTTTAATAAAAAAACATTGCTCTAATTTAACAAATTTACTCAGTTTATAAATGTATCGTCAATATGCCTATATGTAGGCTAACTTTATAGTTGGTCACATGAACTCGGTGTCATCACCATTTCAGCTCCACATAAAATAATGTACAGGTAATAGCAATAAAACGCAGTAGAAAGAAAACCATGCGTTTTGCGAATATATAAGAACACCAGAATTGCAGCTTCACAACCTGACGCGATTTGGATACTATTAGAGTAATAATAAAACACACATAAACAAGCTGCATATATAAACAGACTCATTACAAACAAATTCAAACTCCAAAATTAATAACCAACAGTCGACTCACCCGTTTAAAGCCCACTGAATCTGTGCTGTTCATTCTCAGCTCTGTACGCGTAAATTGTGCTTCACTGCATTTGCAGTTACTTTTCTTCCTTTCTCCGCATGGCTTTACGGTTTTCCCCCAGCCTCAGACTGACTCGAGCTCTTGCAGCTCCTCCACAACTGCTGAAGTTGCTCAGTCTTCATCGTGTCAGATCCGGATGTGTTGATGGGTGTTTCTGCTGTTTCTCTCTCTCTGGCGCGCGCGCACGCACCAGCTCGAGTCCCCGTCTCACCCCAAGCCGGGCTGCTTACTAATAACAGAGCATTATTACCATGCAGAAATACATTCATACACTGCACTCTCCGATTTCAAGAGTTTAGGCTACTAAGTTAATTATCTCCATTACGTGTAACCCATACCGCAGAACAGCCCAGTTGAGAATGGATGCATATTGAGAGGATCTGAAGGAGCTGAGTTTCAAAACATCAGATCAGTTGTTATTGCTCGTCATGCATCACACACACCATGTCTCATCATATTAGTCATGTAAATTAGTTGGATGACAAATTCATCACTAAAACCAGCGAATTGCTAATATGCTAATTATTAGAAATTATAAATTAATTATTTTATTACATTTTTAATGTCGCCTAACACTAAAACAATTTTATATTTATAGCTACTGTAAATAGTTACTTTTTCTCAAATAGTGAAAACAAATACGATATAGTGAGGTGCTAAAGTGGATATGTAAAAGTTAAAAAAAATTAGAAAACTACATTATATTAACTACAGTATATTGCGTTAAAAATATTAACTGAATAATTGTATCACTGAAACCTCGCTGATTAGTTTTTTTCCTCAGATCTCATCTCTTGTGAAGTGGACACGGTCTGGCCACTGAGGGGAGACAGAGAAGTTTGTTCTTCAATCACACTTATTATCAATGCCTCGTAATGTCCACTTGTCCCCTCATGTTCACATCCTTCTTTTTGTGATCATTGCCAGCGTGCTGGGTAGGTTACGCACACTTTTAGTGTGTTCCTGATAACAAATGACATGGTGAAAATAGTTATCAGTATCAATTTAATCTACTCATTTTAACTAACTTCTTTTAGATCAGCCTACTTTTAGATTACTTTTGACATTAAATTTTAAGAGAAAACAGAAGCAATAAATAAATAAATAGCATACATTACTTTTTTTAACATCAAAATACTAATTTGGGTATAGAGAAAAGACATTCTCAATTACGTAGCTGCTCATTAACATGCATGTTTAAGATACTAACCCATTGGCTAAAATGCATTTATCTATGTGATTGCATTCTAAAGTCCTAAAGTTTAACCATATACAAAGTATATAAACTACAATATGCAGTATTGTATCTAATTATATATATATATATATTCATTCATTCATTTTTTTCGGCTTAATCCCTTTATTAATCCGGTGTCGCCTTAGCGGAATAAACCGGCAACTTATCCAGCACGTTTTTACGCATATACATATGAGCGGCATGGTGACAGTGGGAAGGTCGCTGGTTCGAGCCTTGGCTGGGTCAGTTGCAATTTCTGTTTAGAGTTTGCATGTTTTCCCCGTGTTCGTGTGGGTTTTCTCAACCTGATCTCACGAGAAAACGAAAGTATTTTACGTTTTGCCAGTATAGTGGCTGATTCGTACAAATTCGTTTGAGTTAAGTCGTATGAAATTGTACGATTTTAAAAAGGAGGCGTGGCACCTAATCCCACCCCTAAACCCAACCGTCACTGGGGGATGAGCAAATCGTAACGAATTAAATCATACGAATTCGTACGAATCAGCCACTAAATGAAAAAGTTACGAATTGCCGTGAGATTGTGTTGGTTTTCTCCAGGTTTCTCCCATAGGCCAAAAACATGCGCTATAGGTGAATTGGGTAAGCTAAATTGTGTATGAATGGGTGTGTGTGGGTGTTTTCCAGTGATAGGTTGCAGCTGGAAGGGCATCCTATATATATCTGCTTCATTGTGATGAGCAAAAGAAAGTCAAAAGATTTGGAGCAGAATTCTTTCATTCATTCATTTTCCTTCGACTTAGTCTCTCAGGGGTCACCACAGCAGAATGAACCACCAACTATTCTGGCATATGTTTTATACAGCAGATTTTGCAGCCCTTTTAGCCCCAATACAGAACTGAGATCCCTTACACTCTCACATTCACACACACACACACACACACACACTCGTACACTACGGCCAGTTTTGTTTGTACAATTCACCTATAGCGCATATCTTTGGACTGTGGGGAAAACCAGAGCACCCTGAAGAAACCCACTCCAACTCGGGGAGAGCAAACTCCACACAGAAATGCCAACTGGCCAGCTGGGACTTTACACCTTCTTGCTGTGAGACAACAGTGCTAACCAATGAGCCACCATGCCACCAGGAAAAGAATTGTCTTCAAATAATTTCAGTTAAATAAGAATGTGCAAACTATCCCTATAAAAAATTACAGTCATTTTAATTATGTTTGGACTTTTGCTCATTACCCAAGGATCATCTGAGACCATCAAGTCAGGTAATAATATGAACATGTTAAGTATGGTTTTAGCAGCTAATTGCAAATAGAGCCAGACGCAAAGGCACAGTTAATAAGCATTTTGTCAGTGAAACACATTTAAAGAGTGAAATAATGATTCCCATGACTGGCTCAAGATGGACTGTGTATTTCATGTTCACAATCATGTTGCTTTGCTCGGACAGAAATCACAATTAACTACACGTCGAGAGAGCTTTGTAATTAAAGACTGAAAGCTGAAATGTGGAAAGACTTTTCCATGTCAGATGCTCAACTTGTTTACTTCATAGCAGACAAACAGGCAACATTATGCAGATCATCTGAGCTTAATGAGAGCCAACTGGTTGTTTATTTTTGTAGCGATGTTGAATGTCGGTTTTCTTTTGTACTGTATCTGCAAAGTTGACGTTATGTGACTATACAAATTTTTGATGAGATCTAGATGGCCTATAAATGTTTCATTGCTTCTCTAAGCAAGTTTAAAGCCTTCAAAGTGACTCAGCAGTTTCTATTATTTTTATGTTTTACCAGTGATGCACTCACAAATTACACAGACTTTTTAAAAAATGTGAAATAACAAGGATTTTTGATGGTTTAGAATTTTGAAAGCTGAATTTATTTGATAAAACTGCAATAAAAAAATCTTTAAATTCATTTATTTTACTTTGCTTAGTCCCTTTATTTAGCAGGGGTTGCCACAGCAGAATGAACCGTCAATTTATCCAGCTTATGTTTTAAACAGCGGATGCCCTTTCAGCTGCAACCCAGTATTGGGAAACACCTATACACACTCATTCACACACATACACTACAGTCAATTTAGTTTATTCAATTCACCTATAGTGCATGTCTTTGGACTGTAGGGAAAACCGGAGCACCCAGAGGAAACCCACGCCAACACAGGGACAACATGCAAACTCCACATAGAAGAAGCAATTGACCCAGCCGTGACTTGAACCAGCAACCTTCTTGCTGTGAGGTGACAGGGCTAACCACTGAGCCACCGTGTCGCATATATCTTTAAATATTATTATAAATGTAATAGCCATTTTTTATTTAAATTCATTTTACAACGTGACAACAAGCACCCATTTGAGATTGCTTCAGTATAAATGACTAAGTAGACAGAATAAGTTAAGTTACATCACTTTAAACTGAATGTCGCTATACTTGTAAACAAGGGAACTTCATTTCATTGTATATAAGAGTGTAGTAAAGTATGTTTTTGAGATAAAGTACTGAACAACAGAGTAAGTCAAATAATTGGTGAAGAAAGTCCCCTTGAGGACAGTGTGTTGTACATATCGTTCGAGGTTACAGAAGTAACCCTTCGTTCCCCGAGGAGGGGAACGGAAGTGCCATGAATGGGAGGATTCGGATCAGAAGCCGCTTATCTGGAGAGTATTGAACGGGCCAATGAATGAAATTAATTGGCAGCGTAAGCTTGCGCAGGTGTGCGACATCTGCCATTATCTCAGCATATAAGCACACCTGAAGCCAGCAGACGCCATCCTTTTAAGCTGAAGAGACTTTCAAACAGCTAAGGGACAGTCATTATGGCGACGGAATATGGCACTTCCGTTCCCCTCCTCGGGGAACGAAGGGTTACTTCTGTAACCTCGAACGTTCCCCTTCGGTTGGGGAACTTCAGTGCCATGAATGGGAGAATATGGAAAGCGCCATAATGACTGCACCTTACCAACACCCCCGATGAGGAGATAGTCAAGCAAGCGTGACGCACCCACATCATGGGGGGCGCGGTCCTCCAACGTGTCCCTGGCCCTAATTTATCCTACTTCAACAGAAGTTTTACGGATTTAGATATATTTTTTGGGAAGTCGTGAGCATCTAGATAATTCTAGGAAATACGACAGTACGTTGGGAAGCGTGCAATCCCGATAGGGAGGACGCTGCGGAGGCCATCCGTTACCCAAGGGGGGGATAGATGGCAGAATTTACCTATGGACTAGCCCTAAAAAGGGGGAGTACGCATAGCAAAAGAGTGGTTAGCGGAGAGGGAAGACACGGGTCCACCCAGGGGGGGGACTTAACCGTGGCGGAATAAGCATATGGGATCGCCTAGTGGGGATCACGCATAGCAGGCACCTATACCCAAAACGCGGGCTGACCAGCGGGCAGACCTACAACGTAGTGGGCCAGCAAGTGACTCCTCCGCTGAGTCAGTGCTGGGGGCCACGGAGGAATCTGCAGGGCTCACCTGACGGGGAACTTTACTGACAGATAAAAAAGGCGCACGTACCTCCGTGTTAGGGAGAATGGCGCCGCAAGCGTGTTTCAACACCCTACCGAGTTGTCTCCTCAATCACCAAAGGGTTACCTAATACCCTTGAGGAAACCGGCTCCACTCGCAGATTGTAAAACCTTGCAAATGTGTTGGGTGTCGCCCAGCCCGCAGCTCTACAGATGTCTGTTAGAGAGGCGCCGCGTGCACGCGCCCAAGAGGATGCAACGCTCCGAGTGGAGTGTGCACGAACTCCCGGGGGACACGGCTGACCTCGACTCGAATAAGCGAGTGAAATGGCATCCACAATCCAGTGGGATAATCTTTGTTTTGATACGGCACTTCCCTGCTGCCGACCGCCATAACAGACAAAGAGCTGCTCAGATGATCTAAAATTCTGAGTACGGTCCACATAAATGCGCAGAGCGCGAACTGGACAAATTAAAGAAAGGGCTGGGTCTGCCTCCTCCGGGGGCAGCGCTTGCAGGTTCACTACCTGATCTCTAAAGGGGGTGGTAGGAACCTTGGGCACATAACCGGGGCGGGGTCTCAGGATGACGTGAGAGTAATCCGGCCCGAATTCCAGGCACGAGTCACTGACCGAAAATGCCTCCAGGTCCCCGACCCTCTTGATGGAGGCCAACGCAACCAGCAGAGCTGTCTTCAGGGACAGAAATCTTAGA